AGGAAGAAGCAGACTCCCTGTGAGCAAGGAGCCTGATGCAGGACTTGATCCCAGGACCCCGGGATCACCACCTGAGCCAAAGGCCGACATGCAACCAACTGAGCTGCCCAGGCGCTCTGAAAAGTGCATTTTCTGATTATCATGTCTCAGATTCCTATTTAAAGCAGGAGTTTTCTAATTTACAATTCTCTTTCATTTCTCTTGAACTCTTTCTAGAATCCGCTGACCAGTGGGCTCCATGGACTCCAACAAGAGAATCAGGGCACAGCCTTTGGGAGAAATGATGCCATTATCTTACAGGAGGATAACTTTCCTGTGGGGGACCTCCCCCAGCACTGAATCTTGGCTTCACTTTTGCAAACTTTTGCAGGTATGGTTGTACCCTGTTTTTTTTTTTAAAGATTTTTTTAATTTTTTTTTATTTATTTATGATAGTTACACACACACACAGAGAGAGAGAGAGAGAGAGAGAGAGAGGCAGAGACACAGGCAGAGGGAGCCCGATGCGGGATTCGATCCCGGGTCTCCAGGATCGCACCCTGGGCCAAAGGCAGGCGCCAAACCGCTGCACCACCCAGGGATCCCTATACCCTGTTTTATTTAAAAAAAAAATTAAGATTAGTAACATTCAGCATTCCCCCCCTCCCTATGCCTGTTCTTACCCTATTCCTGTTGTATGTGAACTTGTTTTTCTTATTATGAGACAGCTGAGAATATCAATTCAAATAACTTATCAATGTCATTCTAAAATGACAAATTCTACACTAGTATTCTACATTGACTTGCACCACTTAGAAAACACCATTTTGGGGGAGAATATATTTGTTATGACTGAATAAATACGTGTCCTTAGTGTAGTCTCATTGTACAGAGATGTCACTCCCCTAAGTAAAATCTTCCAGCAACTCTCCACCGTATTTAGAATAAAATTCAAAATTTCCTCATGATTTACAGGACTTTGGTGATGTGGCCTCTCCCCACCTCTCAGACCTCAGCTCCTCCCACATATGCTCCAGCCAGAAGCCTCTGTTCTCCTCCAACACACCAACCCCGTTCCCACCTGAGGCCTTTGCACTTGCTAATTCTCTCTGCCTGCCACATGGCGATCTAGACCCTCAAGGACTTGCCTTTTTCTCCTCGTTGAGGTCGCATCTCATTCCAAACCCTGTGGATTCTATATCCTAAAAATTTCTTGAATACCTAATTTTGCCTTTGAACCCAAAGAATCTTTGCCACAGCCCTTGGCTCACATTTTCATCGTGGTTCCACAATACGGTCCACCTACACTGTATTCCTGTTGTCCCCCTCATAGGCCATTTTCCTTCATACTTCCTTACCTTCTGCATGTATCTTCTCTGCCTGACATTTTTTCCCTCTTTTTGCCTGGTTAGCATACATGCTTAAGACCTAGCTCAAATGCCATTTCCTCCCAAAAACCTCTCTTGATCTGTCCCCCAATTTGAGTTAACTGAGTCTAATGTATTCTCTGTGGTGTTATAATAATCATGCTAACTTGTCCAAATGCCCTACACAACAGAGAGCAAACCAAACCCCACGCTTCCCACCGATTGTACATATGGGGGTAACGCAGAAGTGGATGACCCTCAGGGATTACATTTTCCAGCCTCCCCTGCATCTCAGGGCGGCCACACACCTAGATCTTGCCAATGGAATGTGAAAAGAAGTGAGAGCTTCAAGAGCTGAAGACTTTAAGCAGACCTACCTCCTCCTGTCTCTGTCCTTCAGGCTTGATGCAGGTGACAGCAAGGACTTCTGGATGGTGGAGCCACAAGATGGACGGACCTGGCCTTCAGACTGGAACACCTGGCCTTGACAATTATGGCAGAAATAAACAACTTCCAGGAATCTCCAACTTATTTTGTTGTAAAGAAAGTTGTTAAGAAAAATACAATACCAAAGACAAAGAATTGGTTTATAGGAAGATCTGTGGAAAGTTAGCCAGCTGAATTCAGAAGCATCCGATCCTTTTATAGGCTTTCTGATTCTTGTATATGAAAAGATTCAATAAGCTTATTTAGGCTGTTCCAATGTATTTGTTAAAGATTTATTTTTTTTGAGAAAGAGAGCATGAGCGGGCATGGGGCAGAGGGAGAGGAACGAGCAGACTCCCCACTGAGCACAGAACACTGACAAGGAGCAATCTCAGGACCCTGAGATCATGATCTGAGCTGAAAGTCAGATGCTTAATGACTTAGTTACCAAGCCACCTCTAGGTTGTTCCAATATTTGAAGGAGAGAATAAAGGCTTAACTCAGAGCTGTTCCCTATCCATTTACTTTCAAGCAATATCTTAGAATTGTTTTAATCCCATTATTGTTGAGTGGTCAGGGAATTCAAGACACACGTGCATTCGGAACATTATTAATTTAAATGTGTGATTACCAGAAATCATCCACTTGAAATAATGTTGCTCTTGTTCTACTAAATCTGTCACTTAAAAGCATGTGGTATACCAGCAGTTTTGTAACACCGTAACTGATTAACTTGAGTGGTATTTTCAAAGAGCAAACTTGAAAGAGTAGTTTCATGAGTTAAATCAGAACCTTCCTAAAATTTGTTGATTGGGAGTTTGAAGGAAGGAATGAAACTTAGTGGTAACAAAGGTAGAAGGGAGAGAGGGAGGAAGAAAAAAAGGAAAGCCATCCTATTTAAGGAGGTTACTACTTTGCAGGATCGCAAGAAGATCAATGGTACTCAAATTTGGGGAGATTTGGGAAGAAGGAAGCAGGAACTGGATCATAACTAAAGATGAATTCTTTCTGATGTGCACATGACATTTCAGACATCATCTCAACAATCACATAGGGAACATGAGTCAGTAGGTGACATAAGTCTAAGTAAAGAACAAAAGGTCAAGGATGGAGAGAGAGGTTTGGCAAAACCCCGCATGCCTTCAAGTAGCAGAGTAGTGGCATGTCCTGAGAAATGCCCGCAACGGAAGGATGAAAACGGCAGTAGGCAAAATACGAAAAAGCATCCCAGTAGAGCCAAGCTTGTAAGCTTGGCAGCTAATAAAAGGAGAGAGGCTCTGGAATAGGTTTGTTTCTTTTAAGTCTTTGGGTCATTCCAAGAGTACATGGGTTGGAAATTTTAGGACTAGAAGCAGGAATACTTCTATTTGTTATGTCTCTAAAACTGTACAAGCCATTTGTTCATAAATCCTTCCCCTCAGATTAAACAACCTTGGAACCTACATTGTTTCATACTCTGCATCCATGAAGCCTAGCACAGCTTCCAAGACGTGGTAGGTACAGGTATCTGTTAAGTTTTATTTTGCTGTTGTATATAGGAAGCCAAAGGACACATTTTTGGGCTCTAGAAAAGGGGGTGAGGAGATAAATACAGTATCAGAAAATCATTTGTAGCTCAAATATTGTCCTAAGAATATTAGATATGAATTCAACGAGGTCCAGTGAGTGCTACTGACTTTGCTTGTGTTTCCTCGGAGCCAAGGAAGGTGGGGATTCTGACTGTTTCCAAGCCAATGGGACTCATGCGCTTATATGCTTGTCAGCCTGACACTGTGAGGGAACAGAAAACTAATAAACAATTCTGAAACATATTTCTTAAATGTCTTAAATGAAATTAGCAATGTAAGTTTAAACTCCAGACACCTATATAATCCTCCCCACCCCCAAATGTCTCACTCTAAAGAACTTTTCCATAAAGCAAAATTCTGAACACTGGCCTCTTTTCCTGTATTCCTAAGATGGGCTTTGGCAAGCTGGTATGCTTACACTTTAAAGAGACAAAAATAAAACTACAAGGTTTCCTTTGATTTTAATGAGTAGAGTTCCAGCTCACTTCCTTTAAAATATTGCCCCTGAATTGCAAATTACTTCATGATCTTTTTTTAAGTGAGCTCCCTTCCTAGACTGACAGAGCCAGCTGCAGCATTGTACTGTCTATGGAAATGATATCATCAGCACTCTGTCCTTGAATAAGATCACAATCATTACATTTGGCTCCTTTTCACATAGCAGGAACCCAAAGAGATGCTTGTTTATAGCAACGGTATTCAGAAAGTTATCCCTTCTGCACTCATCAGTTGGCAGCTTAAAATCAAAAGTTTAGCATGAATTACCTGAATCCCCTTTTAAAGCAAAAGTAGTTTTAATTTTAATAAATTTACAATTAATGTTTAAAGTGTTAGCTTGTTTTCTAATTTTCACTGTTTTTATAGTTTTGATACTAAGGGCAGAGTGTAATTTATTATTGCTTATATTCATTATTCATTAACTATATATTTATTTTTTTAAAAAATATTTTATTTATTTATTCATGAGAGACACAGAGAGAGAGAGACAGAGACACAGGCAGAGGGAGAAGCAGGCTCCATGCAGGGAGCCTGACGTGGGACTCGATCCTGGGTCCCCAGGATCAGGCCCTGGGCTGAAGGCGGCGCTAAACCACTGGGCCACCAGGGCTGCCCTATTTATATTTCTTGTAATTCTGTGTTTCAACTTATTATCAATAATATAGTTAATACTATTTGTTACAATTTGATAACTAATTATAACAATTCAACCTAATAATTAAATTTTAAAAATTAATTTTACAGCTGAATCATTTTTATACATGGTATAAAACAGACTGTGTTCCCATCATCCCATTCCTTAGAGAAAGCCACCGTTAACCATTTGGTGTCATTCCCTTCTGATCTTTGTTCATATATCAATTTTGCTTTTTCATGGATGGGCTCTTACATTCATTTTAAGGGGTAGCAAATGATTTTGTCCAATTAAATGACTTAATTTATTTAATCAAATAACAGAAAAAAAAATACCTGAGAGCCATATTCACCACGAAAAACATGTTGTATAAATTCAACTCACATCTTTTATTAAAGATTCTCATCTGACAAATATTAGTGAAGCAGTCCATTAAACTATAATTTTAAGTACAAAAATAAGCAGGTGATTTTATAATCTGAAAAAGATTTTACATTTTTTTAAAAAAATGACTACCATTCTCAAGAAACATCATTTAGGTTTTATTAACATGAAGCCAAAATGTTAGCACCATTTATATGCACAGTAAGACAATTAATTTCAAATTTATCATTTTTATCTTTAGTAAATCAATCTTTTCCACTTCCTGTCAATTATTTTCCAACTTTCGAAAATTGATTAATGTAAGACATTTGAAACTAAGTGTATAATTTAATCAAATTTAATTAAATTTGATTTTAATTAAACCACTCTTGTTTTTGCCCAGTAAATATTATGGTTTCTAACAGAAACTGCACATAAATAAAACATTAACTTTACCTGTTTTGTACACGAGGGTTCCATTGCTAAAAAGATTTTTGAAAACTGGTGAAGTTGAGGTCTTAAAGCACTGGCAATATGCATAAAACCACGCATATGGTTACAGCAGGCCTAGCTTACAACCCAGGCTGTGGTCCAGTCCAGGTCTGGTTTACAATACCACCCTGCTTACACGAAGCCTTCCTGAGACCCCCCCACTGGAAATAATACCATTTTCTTCTAATTCTCACTGCATTTTGTTTGTATCTTTTTAAAACAATCATCTCAGTATAGATGATCTGTGTTCGAGCATTGTTCAAAAGCAGTGAAATATCAAGTAATAAACTAAAGGAGTAATCTTTTTTACCCACAATGATTGATGAGAATTCTATCAAAATCATTCAACCTTGCACTGGAGTCTGCAACTGGCATAGCATTAGTTAATTAATTCTTATTAATCATCTTGATCTCTCTTCATAATGCTCCCAAATGCAGTGTTAGATGAAGAAAAAAAGAAAAGAAACAAAACCTAAGAGAAGCTTATTTACTCATAAATTAAAAATTATTTTTGTATTCCTTCCCATCCCAATTAAAATGATTCTAAAAACAAACGAAAATGATCCAACGCTGTTTTCTAATTATCAATGTAATAGGCTTGATATAGCATAGTATCTAGGATACACAAAAGCATCAAGAATCAGAAAAATACCAACCATAATGCTATTGCCTTACAATAACCTGTAATGTTATATTTTCTTCCATACTTTCTAAACATAGTTGAGATCATAGTAGGTGGAACAGTTTGAATCCTTCTTTTCCTCCACTTAACACGTCACAATCACTATTTCCCCATGTTATTAAACTCTCCTTATAAAAAAATTTTAATGGCACATGTTTCAGCATGCAATTTAACAAATTCCTTAGTATGTTGGTCCTTAACAGATGGATACTGAATGTATTTCTTAAATGAATTAACACAGGACTTCCAACACTTATTTTTACAACTGAACTGTATTCAATGTAGGGCTCAGAAAGCATCTGGGGGGAAAAAAAAGCAAAACCTTATAATAAACACTTAAAATGTAGGATATATAATCCAATAGGTCAAAAAGCCAATCAGCCCTCTTTATTGATCCTATCACATTAACCATTCACTGTTTATTAAGGGGAAAAAAGAAACAGGACTATCAGCCACTCAGAGTACAGATAAAAGTATCCTACCAACCATTAGCTATGTTATTTTCTATCTTCTCCACACAAAAATTTTGAACAGGAGGCACAAACCATAAAGCCTAACACATTCAACTAAAATTTTAAATTCTTATGAGACCAACTTAAGAATCCACAAAAAAGGTGAAAGTTTTCATGACACATGGGCAAAGGATTAATATTCTTTAAAAGAACTTTCACAAAAGCCAGTAGCAAAATGTATGAAGGACGCTGAAAATTTTATATAAAATAAAATGACCAAAAATCTATGAAGACGTTCAAAGTCAGTAGTAAACCAAAAAAATGTAACTATACAGGTGAGGTGTCACTTTTCACCCAGGGGTCAGCTGAGACTTAAAAAATTCAAACAGGTGTTACTTGAAATAAGCAATGATGTGTTCCTGAAACTTAAAAACTTGCTCATCAAAAGCCATTTTCTTACAAAGATAATGACGAAATGGGAATTCAGTCACACCTGGGAAAGAGTACAATCTATATTATTAAACTGAATATAAACTTCTATAAGACAATGAACCTTTAACAGAAAAGTCAAAGGACTAGCACTGAAGGTTGACATGCTTGCAGGAAAGCATCACCAAGGCGGAAGACAGGTCATCCAATGCTAGATGATAACAAGTGTTGGAGTATCTTTCCCCAATATTAAAAAAGGTCAGCTGGAAATACATGTTTATAGGTTTTTCCCTCTATACTTCCAAAAAGTCCTGATTAGCACATGTTGGATCCATTACAAGCAGGTTAACAAGTAAGCTCTGCACAACAGGTTAAAGGCTAAAGATCCCAGAGGCCTGCATTTTGCTGACTGGGGAAGACTGGTGAATATACACGTATGCACAGCCGAAATGCCCGGGCAGAGTGGCGGTGGCCTGCGAACAGTGAGGAGCAGGTGACTGTAGCATAAACTATTTTAATATAAAGATGGCCATGTGTTGGAGTGAAGAACTGACCAGGATGTGGGCGGGCTTTGGGGAGGACAATTGGGCAATATGCCACTAACGTCTTTTACTTTGATACCGAAATTCAACTTGTAGGCTAAATGAAAACTAAATTTAAATATTAACTGCAGTATTGTTTTTAATGGCAGGAAGCAACAAGCTAATGTACATTAAGAGAAGACTGGTTAAATAAATTGGGACAACCCAAGCAGCAAATACATCATTAAAATAGTTTTTTTATATGTGAAAAATGCTTATAGGGCATTTTAGAATTCTATATTGAAAACATACACTCAAATATATACATATGCATCCCAAAGTGCCAATACTGGTTTTCTTAGAATGGTGGGACAATGGATGATTTTAATTGTCTTTTTGCTTACTATCTCTTTTCTGGTTTTCAGTCAAAGAAATATGTATTCCTTATGTAATTTTTTTACATTAATAAACACTTCTATATGCTAAAAAGATAATTATAAAAATTAAAGGGGCAAACTAGGAAGTCTGTAAAATCACTATTAAGGGTTAATATACTTACTACTTAAAGGATTTAACTGATTTATATGAAAAACACTAAGATTCTAATAATAAATGTACAAACAAAAGAATTTGAAATATATTAAAAAATAGTATCAATAAACAATTAGGTACAAAATAAGACAACATGCTTATCCTTTTATTTAAGTGGAAAGGGTTTTAAAAAACACCCACAATATTAATTATGAATAGGTACTCTCAAATCCCATGGTATCATTTAATCCAGTAGCTGCACTTCTGAAATTCTAGCCAAAAGAAATATAGCTAACTATGAAAAAAATATTTCTAACAATGAAAAAGCTTTCAACAGAGTATGTCCATCACAATGTTCCTTGTACAAAGAAATAATGAACCCCAAACCTAGAAGCATCCAAACATTGGGACTGCTTCAAAAACATTTCATCTATGCTGAGACAGAATGATTTGCTAAACTACAAGGCATGTGGCGATGTGAATAAATGGTCACTTAGGCAGGTCAAAGTCACAGAATCGCAAAGGGTTGGTAGGAGTCATAAGGAACACATTCAAAAGGAATGTCAGAGGCTGTTTTATGTTGTGAAAATCTCATTCTTTAGTAGCAAAAGGGGGATATTCCAGATGTGAAAATGAAAAAAGGGCATAAAGATCGAGATGATGATATAGACTTTCTTCCAAAAGAGCTGTTGTACCATTTGCCATTTCAGTGTCTGCAGACGCTTACAATATACTCTGGTGTGTTCCTGACATTCCTACACGCAGATCCACACAGATTTCAAGTAAATAAAATCTGTATACACTTATTGCACTGCATGATGCTTTGGGGCCATTTTTAAGGAAATAAATCTGATTTCTACCACAAGAACCAATGAGTAAGACATATGGTCACCTTGAATCCTTTTTGAAAGAAGGTGAATTAAGTAAGAATGGAATCTGTCGGCGTGCTAGAATTACAGAGGTAAGGGAAACCTACATGGGGGAGAAGCTCACAAACATCATTAGTTCTCATTCATTCATTTACCGACACATATAAGCCAGACACCTGTCACATACTCAGCACTGACAGATATAAACTGGTTAACACAACATTCCTAGTCCTCGGCTGCCCCGGAGCTTACGTTCCAACGGAGGGGACACAGACCATATCCAAATAAGCATACGCACGGGGGTGATTCCTCTTCTCCTACTTCTTTTCCTTCACTTTTCTTGTTTACTATCAATCATTCTCATGAAAGTTCACTCTAATAATATTCATTTTAAATGACAGGACTTTTCTCACAGTTTAAGACAAATTAGTTAGATAAAGTGGTCACTATTTATCCGGTTCATGTCCAATTCAAATATCCAGAAGAAAGAACCAGAAAGCTCTCTATTATCTAAGTTCCATAAAAAGATTCCTAGAGAATATCAGGACAATCATTTTGTCATTTGCATAATGCAGCTATTATATCTTTCCAACTGTCCTGGCTGATCTCAGCCCTTGCCGGTAAATAAGGCTACCATCACTAAGTCTGAACACATTCAGAGAATAAATCAGAATAAAAACACTGACAACACAGACGTGTGAATAATAATTATAATTAACCCCTTCTAAAAGAAAAGGTATATGTAATAATAGCACATAGTAGAGTAACAATTTAACCCATCTTTTTTTTTTTTCCTTTTTTACTCAAAGCATAAAGCAGAGACAACACTTTATCCCAGGTTAACATGCAACTTTAAAAAAAAAGTTAATATACATATTAAACATGGAAATTCACCAGTAAAACCTTATTTTTCATTTCCCCCCAAACATATCTTGACATGATTCCTTTATTTCATAATAAATAAGGCCCTACCGCTAGTCACCTGACTCATCCCTTACATTTCTGGAGCCTGACAGCTTAGTGAGTTCTGGAGACAAGAACACTGCTGTAAGTAACACATCTGCAAAACAGCAGCTGATGAGACTGTTTTACCAATGGAGAGGTCCCTACTGCAATCTGCCACTCCCTCCCAGCCTCCCGCAAAACAAAAATATGTTCCAGCCATCCACAAAGTTGTCTTGCCAAGAAAGCCCCAACATATTATTTCCCTAGGTATCTAACACATCAGCAGTGATGAACAATAAAAGCACCTAAGTGCTCTAAGATCCTTACTTTTTTGGAATATTCCTTGAGTGTAAAGTTTTCTTAGGATACAGGGAAACACAAGTTCAAAAAAAAGAGAGAAGACAACTCTTCTGCGTTTTTGTGCATTACAAAGCTTGACTCAAAACCTTTTATCACATTAGAAATTCCAATACAATAAACCTAAAAACTTTCAAAAGGTGTTCTAATTTCTTTGTTGTATTAAATGTGGCTTCGACTATGTCAATATGCATAGAGCTCAATTTGGGAGGGGTAGTTATACAAATAGAGGACTTGAAACGCATTTTCATCTAGGCTTCTCTAAGGACATACGATAAAGAAGGAAGACTATCTACAAGAATTTACCATATTTAAAATCAATACTGTTAGTAAAATTGTTTTTAAGCACAAATTAAAATTAGTATACATTTTTCTCATCTCTAGCAACCAAAAGAGCCCTCCTTAGTCATAATTGTAGCTTCTTCCTCAATGTGTTATTTTGAACATTAACCGAGAAAGTATCTTTAAAAGTGCTCTGCAGGTATAACCTCCTCTCAAAAAAACCGTAGAGGGACATAATATAAAAAAAGGCTACTCCAATCTAAATGACTAGTTCAAGCAAAAATAATTAGAGGAATTCTGTATATCACCAATGTCAGAAGTTTTGGAGAAGAGAATAGTATACAATTATTTAAAATCATGTACACATTTCACTTTCCATGCAAGATGATTTAAAATATAAAGACAACGTAATTGTAAGAATCAAGTCTCGGCCCCCAGAATTTATAGTCACATTCTATGGCCTGAAAAAAAAAAAAAAAGAAAAGAGGGAACTATGAGAAACATAATAGGAGTCTATCAAATATTTTAGTTTTTAAGTAGACTCTTAACAAAGAGGAAAGATTTGGGCATGCTCACAAAATGAATCCAGAGCTAAACAATATGATCAAAATTACTAACCACTGAGTATGAGGAGAGTTAAGAGGCTACTCTTATATAAGCAATAAGCTTTCATTAAGGTTTTAAAATGCACAATATAATTTTCTGCGTATGAAGGCTATTTAAAAAAAAAACAGAAATAGATTTCAGTTTTCTAGCCTCTACCTTAACAAAAGGGCAATGGTTTTGCTCATGTTTACTATGGTTTGTAATCTAGGTTTTTTTTTTACTCAAATAAAGCACAAACTGTGACTTAGAAATCCTCAGGGCTGTGTCATCAGTACACCAAGCACATATAATGCCATAGAAATATATATAATTTATTAGATGGACTTAAAATACCACACACATCAATTTTAGGCACTTCTTGAGTACAGACTATGAGAATCTTCTTTCAAAGAACAGCATATCTAGCAGGCAAGACCATACGCTTTAGTTTTTAGAATAATACATAACTAGACAACTGATTTGAAAAATTGCATAATTAGCCCGACTCTATCCTGTAGCAATTTCTTCATAATTCCACACAGCATTTTAGCATTTAATAGAAAGTCATTTTTTTAACATCCAAAGCTTTTAAATTTTTTCCCTTTATTTCACCAATATGAGTTTAAGACTATCATACGTTCTTTGAGGGAGCATGAGATAGAAGTTCCATTTTGTATCCGTGGAACTTTAAATGAGTACTTTCTATACTGTGTCTGTATCTATACAGAATCAACACATGATGGTTGATGATTCTGATGTTTTTTAAAGCCCATTTCAACAGGTTTATTTTGTAAAGACAGGCATCTCATTACTAATTCCTTTAGACATCTAACGTTTATCTGTGTTAAGTAAAACATGAGTAACAAAACAGAATGTGGGCTATGGTTTTAAGGATGTCTTCAGGTTAAACACTACATACAAATTTGGTTTGGCATCTTTTTCTGACTCAAATCATTTGCACAGGTATCCTCCAAAATGCGATCTATGTTTGGTAATGGGAAGATAATATACACGTAACTTCATCCCGTCCGTGCCTAACTAGCAGCTTAAGGAGCTGGCAAAGTCTAGACAGTTGTTATCTTTCTGAATCTACTATTCAGCATATGAAGCTAAAATTAAGAAGCATTAAAATGTTAAATACAGTATAAATGATTTTATTACTGACATTTATATACTGTATGGATAGCAAGCCAGTCTTCTGATATACTCAACAATCCTGGCAATACTCTCTAATGAGCAAAGTACAAACTAAATCAAGCCAGTGGTGGGGAAATAGCAAAGAACTAGAGAACCTACTGGGAAACTGGTGGTGTAGGGAATGATGGCTGTAAGGCAAAGTTTGGAATACCTCCAGGATCGGGTAACATACCTTCACTGATGGAGAATGAAGATACAGGGGAGCAAGGGATGGCTGAGCTATGGGAAGCTCTGATCTGAAGTAAGAAGTTCCAGCGTATATTTTGACAGTTGGGAGGGGTCAAGGGTAAGCCATGCCAAGAAACCCCGTCTCTACCCAGCTTCGAAAGAGGGACTGATGCCAACATACAACTGGGCCATCGAGAGAAGATGATCCCCAAATCCACAGAAAATCTGGGATGTGCTGCTATCCTCTAGGTATAAAGCAGAACACACTACAGATATATTCCCAGAAACACCTGCAGAGAAAACTAAAAAGTTGTCTAGACCAGTTTTTCTATTTACGCAAATATAAACAGATTCTGAGGTTGTCTGTACTGTATGTGGTTGCTGTAGTCACAGCAAGAAATGTAAAATGCCTACAAGAGAGAGGACAATAAAATCCCATTTCTAGGCATCTTAATTCTATACACTCAGACAAAAAAGAAAGGAACATCTCCGGGACTTCCTGCCTTTCCTCAAGTTCCCTGTACTTTTCTGTAACTACCTACTAGGCACTTCTTAAAGGCCAGAAAACAGAAACTCTTTTTCACACCACACTTCTAAAATCACTTTAACTATCTGCATTAAAAATGCCAGCCAGCAGTGCTAAAGCGCTTCTCTATTCTTAAGGCAAAATGTCATATTCTATACCCACCTCCCCCGGCTCCCCCAACCACCTGCCTTCACTGAATTCTTTGCCCGTCCTAAGAGCCAAATAAGAGAGAACTGAAAATCTTCAAACTAGACTCCTCGATATAATGTGTAAGATATACTTTATAAATGCTATTATCACAAAATTAACATATTTAAATGCTTGTAGCATGTGGTTACTTTCACCAAGATTACATGCCTTTCAAAATTAATATCAAACAACATTTAAATCCAGCCACATGTACAGAGGTATGAATCTCTGTTCTTTTCAGAGGCGAGCACAACGGCTCTAAATAAGATGACTGTTTACACCCGTAAGTAGCATATTAAAAACCAAAAGCAATGCCTTTTGCTTAATCCTACTCAAACTACATATAAATTGCCAATATGACTACTCCTGAGGCTCTCCGTCGGATCTGGAAATAATACTGTTTAAATTGTCTTGATGTATATTCTTACGTGAATTAAAAGTCTTTTCTCATGTAATTTTGGTTCTACGTACAGTGTACAGGTACAACCTTATTTCTAATGCTTCTCTTAGAGAAGAGGGAATGTAACAAAGAATCATGTTCTGTAAATGTGGTTTAAGGTTTCTTGCATCCTCACGATGCCATGTCAACGACCTGCTACAGGACACCAACCGTAACGATGTAGTGCACGCCTTACACATCCAACCACGAGTGAATTCTAGCCAAGGCCCTGACGGCAAGGGCGTGTGCTGGAGGAGCGCTAACTCCTATGGCAACAAGCCGCGGGACTAAACCACGATTCTTCAAATTGAAAGATAAAAAGGGTAAAAGATGCGAATTTGCTGGACTACTTTACAGAATATTTATCTCTGGTGAAAATGCAACATCTGCAAAAGAGATTTGGATTTTTAAGGGAGTTTTTAGTATAAAACAAGTCATTCCTAATAATAATAGTGATTTGGAAAAGTATGAGAACATATGAACAAATAAAGCTTAGTAATTTGGAGTTTACTTTTGTAAAAGCAAGTTGACAAATATTAAAATGTTATACTTGCATTATGAACATTATACTATAAATATGAAACACAAAACGTCCACTGTTAAACACTGACCTCCCATGCCTGACTTGGATTTAGTTATTGAGTATATGCTACAGAAAGAAACTTTCGGAGTTTTGTCAATGCTTGTCAATACTATTATTCCTCATCAAAATCTGCATGAAATCTAAAAGGCTGGTATTAAAAGTAGTTATTTCTTTTCTTCAATATCCTAAAACATGCCAGTTTGGATCAGCCTTCAGATTTTTAGGGCATGAAACACATGCAAAGAGAGTACCCAAAAAGATGTCTGAACACATTAGGGTAAGTTTGTTTATAAGTTACAACAGAAATACCTTCAACCTTCATAACTTCCCATTTTCAGTGAAGGAAAAAAAAATCCTAAGCAAACAAGATATTTGGGGCCAAGTTACTTCTTTGTAAAAATAATATATCATGTTGACCAACTTTTAAACTGAATTCTTAAAAGCATTAAAAATAATTTGTATTTAATAATCATCAATGCATTCACGTGGTATTAAGATAAAAGAAAACACACAGAAATGAAAAATCTCAAACTATCCCAATTCCTACAATGAGAAATTTTCAAATAACAAAATAACCTTCATTGCTTAGAAAATAAGCTTTACTTTTCATCTCAAATTCACTTTAAATGCTGGATATATAATTCAATACCTAAGAAGACTCTAGGTAAATTTCTTGATAATATTTATAGGGTGATACTACTCTGGGCAGACATATTTGACACAACATCTTCCCACTAACGTTGCGGGAAAAAAAAAATCACTCGATAATTGTAATCACAATTGATGATGGACTAATTAATGGATTAACAATTTTCTCAGTAATTCAGATGGCATAGATCCAATAAAGGGAACAATCTGATAATTGCTCAACATGAAATCCTGTCCATTCATAATACTAAGCCAAAAATTTGCAGTACTCCACTCAGTTGGATTACATGTTTTCATTTATGTAATTTGATCAACAAAAAATGGGTACACAATGTTGAGCTTTCTTCTCTTTCTTTTTTTTTTTAAAGAGCAGCTCAATGATTTTGGGGATCGGTTAGTACAATACAGAGAACATAGGGGGAAAGCACAAAACAGCACTTAACACCAATGCCAGTATTCATCTCATTATGGTTATAACTAAGGATATTATTACTTTTGTGTTATTTGCTTTTCTTTAGAACATAATCAAAGCCGTAACTTGAACTTGAGGTATATACACAATACATATACAACCTTATGCAAAATACTTTTCATAATTAACGTTACATTTTAAAATATTGGAAACTGAGTGTGATTTGTATTTTGACTTAATGCAACAAGAAGAGAACAACATTCAACTAGGGAGGGTTATACTGATAATAAAGCTCTTAGAATGAAAAATGTCTTCCTCTCCCTTTGTACTTACCACAGGCTACACAATGTCCTGAGAGGATTCATTATGAGAAAAATGGCAATCACAGCTTTAAAGACCTTGCTTTGGAAGGAACTAATGAGAAAGCAGATTGGAAAGTGAGACTTCATCTTTGTTTTCAAATAAGTGGTCTTAATTTTTCTTCTTATAGAAAAAGTTTAAGTCAGTTTATTATAAATATATCTAAACCATTAATTTTTGCAGCTTTCAGGTAAAGTCCAGCACTTCGTTTATACAAAGTCCATGAGCAGAGGTCAGTAGAGATCATCTAATCTTAAGTCGTGACATCATCCATTCAAGTCCTTGGCATAATCTACAAAAATATAAAGTCATTTGATTAAATTATCAACTAAAAAGCTATGAACAACAAACTAAAAGATACCATTTTTCATTTACTTAAACAACAAAGATTAAAAAATCAATAATATTTAATGTTGGTGTTATGCTGGTAAAGCAATACTCTCATACATAGTAGTACATTCCTGCTTTTCTGGTTCTGTTATGTCTCCAGTTTCTAGACCACTGCCTGACACACAGAAGGAGCTCAATAATTATATAATGAATATCAACAGAAAGTAATTTAGCAATACGTATCAGAAATATTTAAAATACCAATACCTTTTTTCTACTTCTAGAAATATATTCTAAAAAAAAATAAGAGACAAGGTCTGGTTGATGTATTAGACTATTCATCACAGCATTTTTAATAGGTAAAAGTAAAATTTAAATCCCTTGAAATAGAGAAAAAAATTTAAATTATAGAACATTCACAACATCAAATATTAAAAACTTCCTTTCAAAGATTTTACAGTATGATAAAATGCTCATGATATAAATGAAATAAAAATGGCAGGGAAATTAATATATAGTTGAGCTGGTAAAACAAAGTATACATATAATATGTATATTACATCTATATATTTTAAAAATTTGAAGGGAATAAAATCTCTTATCACTAATACCAGTTAATTGAGAACAGCACAAAATATAGAAAGAGATGTTCACTATGATAATAGAAACTAAATGTTTAGCAGGAGGAAAAGGATTGTACATATTATAACAAAATGAAAGACTGTTATATAAAATATTAACTATTCTATATAAGGAGCTTTAACAGATATGAGAAACTATGCTACCATATTTAATCAAAAACACCAGACTCAGATTTTTGTGGAAGTATGAATCTAATAATGTAAAAGAAGGAGAAGGAGAAGGAGGAGAAGGAGAAGGAGAAGAAGAAAGAAGAAAGAAGAAAGAAGAAAGAAGAAAGAAGAAGAAGAAAATAATGAGGTGAATAAATGGTTATTTTGCTGTTGGCTCTTACTTGCCCTACTATTACTAGATTCCTTATGTATAAACTACTGATAGATGGTGCAAAATAATAAAATAATAGGCAAATAAATTAACTCCAAAGTGTTAAATGACAGCAGTTACCTAATAGCAAACCAGAAACTGTGCTGAGTACTTAATATCCATTATCTTAATCCTCACGATGCTGAGACCAGAACCCTTCCCACACTACAAGAGGTTCGGAACCCAGGCTTAAAAGATGTTGGCAAATTGCAGGGGTGGGAGTCAAAATGCCAACTAACCCTAAAACCTACAGCTTAGTCCAAGGTGGCTAGACTGCAGAAGAGAAACATTTTCTCCAAAACCAAACATCTCCACTCGATAACTATTGCAAAGAGAAGCCCACACAAACCAAAATTGAAAAGTTATCCCATCACCATCTATTTATTTCCTCTTTTATTTTATTTTTTTCTGGGTATTTGGAGATCTTTATTTCTTGTTCTTTTTTATCTTAAACACAGGTAAAAGAATTATTGCAAATTTAAACACATTTCTGAATTTATACACACATATTAATAATTCTGGTTAAAAATAAATATGACATATTTCTGACATAGAAAAATATAGAACACAATTTAATAAACACACACATTTCATCACCTTGCTTAGGGCTAGGATGACCTTACACCAAAAAAGTAATCACTACCCTTTTGGGGATTTATTGATTTATGTAATTGTATGATAATATTTCCAAAGTTATAAGACATTCTACATTACATATGTATTATTATTTTATAAAATTTTAAAACTTATATACAAGGCATCATAATCTAAAGCTTACATTTAATCTCTGAAATGTTTCATAAATTGACAATAACGTAATTATAGATCTTTGGATTGTTAACTCAGTTCAATGAGGACAATAAAGGTAACTCATATCATTGATAAGCATGTTACTCTTTTATTTCCTCTTTTAAAAATGAAACTGCCAGGGTTCGTATCTACCCTAAGTAATGATATTTTTCACACAATTACTCAAAGTACGTAAGTCAAATATTTTACCAATCCTACGTGATCTTCTTTGCTGTTAAATTCAGTATGAAAATCAATGTTTTTGCTTTATGTGTTATCACATAAAGATATACCTGTATCAACATGTATTCAACTATTTGACAAAAAAATATGAAATGGTTAAGACATTTTTACCTAAATGAGCATGCAGACAATCAGTATTATCTACGACTTTTTTTTTAAACGAACATACATGCTTTTATGAGGTTCTAATTATGCTCTCATGTCTGTAATCAGGCAACAGGGCCTTCTATTTCAATTTCACTAAGATTCAGCTTGGGAGGGAGGGGCAAGTTCAGCTTCATCTCTGATTTAATTCTTTTTTTCTCTGCTTTTAAATACATACATGAGGGATTCTAAATAGAGGCCTTCAATTTGGAGTTGAGGTTCCTCTGGTGTTAGGCAAGGGAAACAGATGAGGGAGCTGGTGAGAGAAACTCTCTTCCTCTCGAGACCATGGTGAAGGTGAACGAATGAGCCACTGAAGCTACCTTGCTCTGCCCCGAGCTTCTGCTCTTTCCTGTATCTCAAATCTAAGACCTCTAATTAGAATCTTCATCTACCAATTAATTATTTTTCACTGCTTTTCAACACACAGATCCATCATATTTTGGAAAAACAACTACAACCAAAACGTTAACTTGCTCATATCTTTTAGCTTTTTGTCCTATTTCGAACCTCCTTTATTCCATCTCTCCTAATAGCGCTCTCTCCCGCCTCCTGACCCTTGACCTATTTGACAATGCTGACAACCACCTCTTTCTTAAAATCCTTTTGTCTCTGGGCATTGGACCAGGGCAAAGTTCTACGGTAGGCACCTGCCTTTCTTTCCCAAACCCCTCTCCCATTCCAAGCTCCCCTGGACCCCCGCTTCTGAAAGTGCAGCAACTCCCTCTTGACGATGCTGGTGGCAAAGGGAGTATCCCAAATTAGTCTCATGCTTGAATCCTTTTCCAGGTCACCTTCTTTATGAATAAAATGTAAATGAAAAACAATCGGTCCACGGGATTGTTAATCATAAATAAATGATACAATGTGTGGAAAGCCCTCCACCAGTGAAAGAAGTGTTTCCTGACTTGTCCAGCTCTTCTTGACATTTCTCTGAATTTCTGCAGTAATTCTATCATCTATTTGTTCACATGCATTAGTTCAGTGTGTTTACACATATTACACATATGATTCATGTTTTGTTCTTTATAGACCCATGCTAAAAACTCTCTAGGTACAGATAAGAACGATGTCTTACATCTCTCCTTTACATTCTTTTATATGTGGTAGATTAAATATCTATTGATTTTAAGAAGAAATACATGTTTCTAAACTAAACACATGTTTTCCAAAAGGAAGACCTCTTACCCCTCGCCAGTAAGAGCACAGCACGCCTGGATATGCCACTGGTGATCTTTAATAGAAGTTAGTTTCAAAAACTGGGAGATTTCTGCTACTGTCATGCATTCTTTAACATCTTGTTTATTAGCAAAAATCAGCAATCCAGCTTTCCGTAGGTCCTAGAGAAGTAAACAAAACTGTAAAGGCCGGTGCATTTTTTTTTCATTGATTTTCCAACCTAATTAACTGAATACTTTTGATCTTTTGATCTAGAATTCCTCGACTCCTTGACATAAAAGCATCTCACAGCTTTTACACTGATGGACAGTAAACTTAAAACTAAATACATTTTAAATAAACACTTCTATAGTTCTATCGATTTACATATTCCTTATGTCCCTAAATTACATTTTTCATGATCCTAAGCGTTATATTTAACAAGAAGTCATGTCTTCAGATACATATTTACCTCTCCCCCGAACCCAAAACTAGGTTTCCATGACTAAGAGCTACTCTTTAGCATGGCACGCACTCAAGAGCTTTTCAACATTCTACTCCAATCCATTCTTTTTTTTTTTTAATTCTTCAGGTACGCATACCTAGAGCTAGTACTTTCCAGGTACGTAAGAAACAAATTCATTATATACAATGTATGCCTGAAGGCTCCAGAGCTTAACTCTCAGTTGGACGGTGCTGTCCTAAACCAATCCTGCTTTTCCGAGATCTGTCTGTCCTTGTCCGTGAAGATTTATTAGATTTGAATATTTGATAGGGTCATTTTGGATTGGCAGTAGGCCTGTCATATTTCCCAATTAGACAGTAAGTTCTACCATTTCCTGGCTTTGCCTCAGGCAAATTCCTTAATCTTTCTGGATCCGTTCCTCATAACTAACATTCATCATCTAATCTGAGCAAGACACCCATTACGTTAACCATTTTCCAAACAAGATCTTTTTAATCCTCGTGAGATTCCTGTAAGGTAGGCCTTGCTATTCGTATTTTAGACGAGAGGAAACTGAGACGCAGCAGTGACTCCTACAAGGTCACACAGCAACTCTGCAGCGCCACCGGGTTTGAGCGGAGATCCTCCCACCACAGCTGCTGCTCCTCCTGGTAAACCGCGGAGACTGCCGCCTACCTCCTGGGGTGTCCTGTGGCCGCGACAAACACGCCAGTTCCATACCTGGCTTTGGGTAAACGTCAGTTCATCCGCTGCCCTGAAGACGAGGAGCAGCTTGATCTTTGTGCACACCCCAAAGTGACTGGCTTAATGTTTTACTCAAAAAGCAGGTCAATGGTTATTCATCTCCTTTTGCTCTATCCTACCCTTCCCTTTCCCATTAAAACATTTTTTAAAAATTTTATGTATTTATTCATGAGAGAGAGAGGCAGACACACAGGCAGAGGGAGAAGCAGGCTCCATGCACGGAGCCCGAAGTGGGACTCGATCCCAGGACCCCGGGGTCATGCCCTGGGCCATAGGCAGGTGCTCAACCACTGAGCCACCCAGGAGTCCCCCCTTTCCCATTTTTAAAGCCAGGGACTTCCTTGATAAGATGTATTGAAAGTTATGGACCTTTTCCTCACAAAAATGTATTTATGCTTATATATGATGTTAGGGTGTTAAGAGATACCCTAAAGCCCATTCATGGATGCTGGGATAAGAATCCATAACAGATTGTACTCAACTGGTAGATTTACCATATATATATATATATATATATATATATATATATATATATATATACACACACACACACACACACACATACACACATAAAAAGAGATACTGAGAAAACTAAGGTTTTAATGCTGTGCTTTCAAGTTTTTTTCAGCTGTGTTGAATGACATTATTCTTCTTAGGGATTTTTATAGGATATTTTTATTTCAATCATGTGTATATCTGTTTGAAACAAGAAAGTCTTCAGTATATATAAAATGACATTGCTTCACATTGTTTTACTCTTGTGAGAATACTGTTTCATTAATTTGATTTTTTTTCTGATGTCAATAAAAAAAATGTAAGTAATAAGTTTCTTATTTGAGGACGCCTGGGTGGCTCAGTGGTTGAACATCTGCCTTTGGCTCAGGGCGTGACCCCAGGGTCCCAGAATCGAGTCCTGAATCAGGCTTCCTGCATGGAGCCTGCTTCTCCCTCTGCCTGTGTCTCTGCCTCTCTCTATGTCTCTCATGAATAAATAGATAAAATCTTTAAAAAAAATTTCTTATTTGGTTAAAAAGAGTTATAAAAAAGGTTTTATAGAACAATCAATATAGACTTTTAGTTACAGCGCCCTCTGCAGGGTGGCAACTACTCTGCCATGGTTAATGACCAAGTTGCTGAAAAGCATGGTAAGAAAGGGATATCTAGAACATTAAGTTCTAAGATTTTACATTCAATTTACTTTACCTATGTTCAGTTCACCTGACCATATAAAGGGCAAAAAAAGCTGAAGAGATGAACTATAACCAGTACATCTACTATGTGTTCACTATCAAGGATCAAGTATTTTTTTCTCCTAGCCTAAATGGAAAACAGAACACTTATCAATAGTTGATATGTTGCTGAATCACTGAGTAGATGGACTTTCCATGGAATGGAATTCCTATCTGCCTATCTTCCAGGTTTCAATATCTCTTGCTAGGGTATGTTGAAATCTTATAGGTCAGGATTGTTAATGCTGGCATGTTCAAAGAGCACATTTCCAACATTAGAAATACGTGGCACAAGTTAGAACAGATAGTTTTACTTGTACATAGTCTATACTCCACTACTCCTGGTGATGAAATCTGGGGAAGCACCTAGACTCAAAATTGGAAATCATAAAAAATATAAAGCTATTTATTATCAAAATAAAACCCATATTGAATCTAACTTTTCTAGATTTCACTAGCTCAAATTTTTAAATTTTGGGTTCTTGTTTTAAAATAGCTATTTTCCCTATTCTTGAGTATATAGGGAGAGAAGAAGGAAAATCTTCCTTTAATTTTTATTAAATAACTTGAGGACAGATTATGCACATGTTAACAAGAGAAAAATATATACTGGATTAAGGCTGCTCATCAAGGTGACTCAACATGAGGGCAAAGCAAAGTACAAGGTGAGCAGTGGTGATTTTTATACATCAGCCGTTTTAAACTTTAAAAACTTTCTGCTACCTATTATATATTGTTGTTAAAGGTCTAAAAATATTTTTTCATTTAGTCAAGAAAATGAACAGCAAGCAGCACATGCAAGACGTATTTACTTAGCATCTTCCATATGCCATATGTAGTTGTCAGTTTGTTTCTCAAAGCCTCATTTGCGAAGATAATTCCTAGAAGTTGAGTCACTCTGAATAAAACTTCATCTATCCCTTTGTGTGTGGAACTATTTTAAAATTCATGAGATTCAAAGTTTTGCACTTCATTTGGAAGATGAAGCTCTCAGGAGGCGCCTGGGTGGCTCAGTCAGTTGAGCGTCTGCCTGCAGCCCAGGTCATGATCCAGGGTCCTGGGATCGAGCCCCATACAGGGCTCCCCGCTCAGTGGGGAGCCTGCTTCTCCCTCTCCCGCTCCCCGGTTTGTGCTTTCTCTTTCTCTCAAAGAAATAAATAAAACCTTAAAAAAAAAAGTAGCTTTCAGAAATATTTAAAATCATTTTATAGGGCAGCCCGGGTACCCCAATGGTTTAGCACGCCGCCTTCGGCCCAGGGTGTGATCCTGGAGACCCGGGATCGAGTCCCACATCGGATTCCCTGCAGGAAGCCTGCTTCTCCCTCTGCCTGTGTCTCTGCCTCTCTCCCTCTCTGTGTCACTCATGAATAAATAAATAAAATCTTTAAAAAAATCGTTTTATAGTTTGGTATCTAGAAATACATGTAAAGCATATTATTAGTGATGATAATAAAGTTCTGTTGATTACTATGGTATATATCAAACACCTGACTAAATCCATGTCAGAATTTGTTTTTCACTAACACATCCTCTTCCTGATGCCTCTCCCCCTCTTAAAACTCTGCCTATTTGGCTCTTCCTGCTTCTATTAAATGGCTTAATCTAGCTCCCGACTGTTAATTCTTTTTTCTCTCTGGCAATCTCCCCTACTCAGTCTCTCACTTTCCAACTAGGCCTTATTTCTGTCTTTCTCCTTTTTTTTCCTTACCAAAGGGCCTGAATAATAAGAATGCCTAAATTCAAATCCTGGCTCTTAAAAATCTGGTCAAGTCATGTAATTTTCTGGGCCTCAGGACACAAATCCATAAAAAATGGGTAACACCCATAACTGATGAAGTTAGGTAATCAGCTCAAGTTAATGCCCCCCAGCTAGTAAAATTCAATGACTGAGTCCTACTACTGGGCTCTTGGATCCTGCTATATATTGGCCAATTAGAGTAAGAATTAAAGAAGGAGGCTACCTGTTAAGATAGTAAAAAACACAGCCAAAAGACAAATACATTTGTCTTAATTTTTTTTTTCTCTAAGTCTTCATAAAGACAACTAAAACCTTTTGGTATAAACAATAATCCCTTGATGTAAAATACAAAGGGAGAAATCAAAAAATAAAAGAAAATCCTTAGTTTTCTACCAGTTTTATAGTTTATTATTTATTTCTCAAACTAGAATCAAACTTTTAAATGCATGATTAACAACATATATTAAAAAAAAAAATCCGGGGATCCCTGGGTGGCGCAGCGGTTTGGCACCTGCCTTTGGCCCAGGGCGCGATCCTGGAGACCCGGGATCGAATCCCACATCGGGCTCCCAGTGCATGGAGCCTGCTTCTCCCTCTGCCTGTGTCTCTGCCTCTCTCTCTCTCTCTGTGACTATCATAAATAAAAAAAAAAAAAATCCAAGGGGCTTAAAACAGTTGCCAGAATCAATCCAAAATGGGAAGGTGCATCATGGTAAGCGTGATCACCACACAGAAGACAGGAATTTCAGGGCGCCTCGGTGTCTCCATGGTTAAGTGTCTGCCCTCAGCTCAGGTCATGATCTCAGGGTCCTGGGATGGAGCCCAGCGTCGGGCTACCTGCTCAGTGTCAGGCTTCCTGCTCATCAGGAAGTTGGCTTCTCCCTCTCCCACTGCCCTTCCCCCATTTGTATGTATTCTCTCTCAAAAAAAAAAAAAATAAAATAAAATCTTAAAAAAAAAAAAAAGAAAAAGAAAAACAGGACCTTCATTTACACAACCACTTTTTTAGGTGTCCTTAAGCCTTGACTGGTTGCCTGAATCATTCCAAAATTCTTCAAATCTCAAAAGCAAATAATCAAATTTAAGTATTTAAATTAAATTAAATATTAATACAGGGGCACCTGGGTGGCTCGATTGGTTAAGCAACCGACTTTTGATTTTAGGTAAAGTCATGATCTCGGGGTCATAAGACTGAGCCTGCATCAGGCTCCACACTGACAGTGGAGCCTGCTTGGGATTCTCTCTCTCCCTCTCCCTGTTCTCCTCCCCCCAGTTCACGTACACAATGTCTCTCTCCCTCTCCATTAAAAAAAAATTAATATGAAACTCCATTACAAAGATATCCCAGCTTTTTAAAAAGATTTATTTATTTATTTGAGGGAAGGAAGTGGGAAAGAGAAGCCTAAGCACTCTGCAATGAGCGTGGAGCCCAATGCAGGCCTCGAACTCACAACCCCAAGATCACAACCTGAGCAGAAACCAAGAGTCAGTGCTTAAACTGAATGTACCACCCAGGCACCCCAAAAAGATATCCCAGTTTTCTTAAGCTTTGTTAAAATTCCACTAAAATTAAAAAAAAAATTCCACTAAAATTAAAAATTACATATATACCTAAATATAATTTTTCTATTTCCACCTATAAATATGAGTTGAGAACCTAACATCTGCAATGAAAGACATAACAAAAAAAATCAATTGCTACTATAGTATTTCATGATTTTATAGTTATTATCATTATTGACTATATTTAGTTTAATTTTTTTAAAAAGATTTTATTTATTTATTCATGAGACACACACAGAGAGAGAGAGAGAGAGAGAGAGAGAGAGAGAGAGAGAGAGGCAGAGACCCAGGCAGAGGGAGAAGCAGGCTCCATGCAGGGAGCCTGACGTGGGACTTGATCTCGGGCTGAAGGTGGCGCTAAACCGCTAGGCCACTGGGGCTGCCTGCCCTAGTTTAATTTTTAAATTATGCTACCAGTAGTATTTCTCAAAGACTAAGAAAATATGGCTAGTCATATAGTTTTATTTAGTCAAAGGCACAATATCAGAGAAACATAAGAGCAACAATATTTAAATATAGTCTGATAACTGAGTTACACTCAAGACTTGCTAAATGTCCATGAGACTTTAAAATCTCATTTCAATGGCGCCTGGGTGGTTGGTCAGTTAAGTGTCTACTTCTGGCTCAGGTCATGATCCCAGGGGCCTGGGATCAAGCCCCGAGTCAGACTCCCTGCTCAGTGGGGAGTCTGCTTCTCCCTCTCTCTTGTCCTCTGCACGCCCCCCATCATGTGTACCTGCATACTCCATCTCGCAAATAAAAAATCTTAAAAAAAATGTATCTTAAAGTCTCATTTACAATAATAACCTTCTGTATAATTAATCTATAAAATGCAAAATGAAATCCAATTTGGGTCTTTACAACCAGGAAAACTTCTAGACCAAATTAATCTAGGATAAAAAAAAAATAAAGTTCTACAACTGACTCTACAATCTTTCTGCTGTTTCCAGATACACTTCCAATTTGGGAAGCATCAAATATAAAGCAGGAAAGGCTAGCAAATAAATAACCTTTTAAAAAATTTGAAGTAGGGGTGCCTAGCTGGCTCAGTTGGTAGAACATGTGACTCTTAATATTGGGGTCCTGAATTTAAACCCCATGTTGGGCACAGAGCTTACTAAAAAAAAAAAAATTTAAGATTAAAAGTTTATTCAAAAAATAAATTTAAAAAAAAATAAAAATAAAAAATATAAATTTAAAAAAATTGAAGTAGTATCGCCATGAGAAAGTAGAAAGAACAAATGTGAGAAATACCACACACAGGGGCACCTGGCTGCCTCAGTCCATAGAGCATGCAACTTTTGATCTTGGGGTTGTGAGTTCGAGCCCCACACTGGTGGTTGAGATTACTTACATAAATAAAAATTAAACAAAACAAAACAAAACAAACAAAAAAAGGAAATACCACCCCGTCCCCAACACATAATATCAGAGTCCTACTTACCTCATGGGCTAACATTTTATAGAGTTCTTCTCTAGTTACAGAAATCCTTTCTCTGTCTGTACTGTCCACAACAACTATTACAAACTAAAATAATTACAAAAAAATTAGTGATTATACAATTTGATATTTATAAAATTTATAAAGTATTTATTTAATTCACAGATTTCTCTCTAATATCAAGAGATTAGAACCTTGTGGTATGGTATTACTGGAAAACCAGAGATACCTACTACACATTGTGAAGGCTAAAGGTTTGATCCATTTTTAATGCAAATATTATTGTGTGATGCTCACTCAATTAGAATATTGTTAACATTCTAACCAACATATAACACGTTTGTTTTCTAAATTAGTATCTTAAATGGTAATGGGCCTATATCCAACTATATGCACTTAAGTCAATATGAAAAAAATACATTGTGATCCTAAATTTTAGATATTTCTACAGATAGTTTTATTAAGATCAATTTGAAACTCTACAAGGGCATGATATGGGAGTAATGTGACACATAAATCAATTTTTAAAAATCAGCCAGTTGAAAGAATAAATCCATTACCTAAAATCATGCTCTCTTCTTTATATAAATGGTATCTGCTGCCTAAAAGCACAACTCTTTCCTGAACTAATGATGAGACTAGTATCAGAAGATGCAAGGAGACTTGTAAAGGAGCCATGCAGGACCGAGCTACACTGCCCCTCCTCCTCGCCTCTACCAGCACCAAAAAAATACAAGGGGAAAAAGAGGAAAAGTAGTCACTTTATGACGGCACTGGTGATGCCCAAGTTAACTTTGCTTATAATTAACTTGCACTGTTTGTTTTTTAGAAGTAGCTTTTCATTTCCAGATAAACCACTGTTAATTTTCAGGTCTTTTCTATTTTTCAGATTTCATTAACCATATGGCAGATGCTGCTAAGAGCTGCTACTTTACTTCTCTCACTTGATACTTACTGATATGTGCCTTCGTTACTATAAGATCAGTTCTAATCCAAGGCATTAAAAAAAAACCACTCAATTTTTATGATGTCATAAGTTTGATACCTGCAGCATTATACACAAAAGTATTAACCATATATACCTTTCCTTTCCTTTTCCAAATAACGTGACCAAATGCTTACTGAAGTTTTAGGGGATCAACTCATTAGAGACACTTAATAGTGACATAATATTAAAGACATAATATTCATCTTTATATACATTTGAAGTTTTATTATCTTATAATCAGCACTACAGAAACAATGTCACAGCCTTTCAATTAATAAGATCGATACAATGAAGCTGTCAAATGTCATGGGTCTGAAATTTCCTCTTGGGAAATAACATGCAAAAAAAACCCATCGGTTATGTCTAAATTGCTTATGACCAAAAAGAAAAGGATTCTTTCATGTGCAACTGTGCTACATAAAAGAGCATACATAGTAAGAATTTTGGCCAGGATTCAATCCTCCAAAACCCTCTCATATAACTAGGATTTTCTCTATGCCTACAAATAAATAGTTAAGACAAACTGTGAGATGGAACTCACTGTAAAAACAACTATTTAAGTTGTGAGATCAATACATAATCAGAGCAATCAATCACCCCCTCATTCCAATTCTCCCTACAGAGGTTCAATGAGAGTGGATATACAATGACCCCAAAACAAGGAATCAAAGACTCCACTATGTTTAAACTCTACTTTTATTAACATACTGGGATATTTCAAAAAGATTATAAGAGTTCACATCTAGAAGTTGTTTCCCAAGCATTCTGTTCATAGAAGTTTTTAGTATATTAAGAAACATTACCTCTGTGTTAGTATAGTAAGTGTTCCAAGAAGAACGAAGAGATTCTTGGCCACCAATATCCCACATTAGGAAACGTGTATTATTAATCACTATTTCTTCTACATTACTTCCTATTGTAGGTGATGTATGTACAACTTCATTCATAGAACTGGGGGGAAAAAGTTCAAATATATTGTAATTAGCAATTAGCTAGACTGAGCATTTTTCATTCAAGGGATAAACCAGCATGAGTTTTTATATTTTATACCCAAATGGACTTTTTCTGCTAACACTGCTAAGTGTTAAGGGTTTAAAAAGATGGAACTAGATAGTGAACTATCTGAAATACTGTAGATTCACTCCCAGAAATTATATAAACAGTATTTCTCTACTTTCTACAAAAAAACTGAACATGCTCGATGTCATATAAATTTCTAGTTCTCTTGAAACAGTTGCTTAAATCTGGCTCCTGGTTTAGAGTCAACTTGCCTTTTTACAGAATAATTTGGGTTCCATGTAATTTTTGTATTGCTTTTGTTAACCAAATATCACCCAGGCAGAAAAAAATAACTGTAAACAATAAAATAAACATTTTAAAGTAGTTAACACTTACAATTGGTAAAGGATGGTAGTTTTCCCTGCATTATCCAGCCCAACAATGATAACCTTGTGCTCTGAAATAAAGAAACACCAGCCATTTATTAATTAAAAACACACATTTTTATATGTCCTATTTTATACATTCTTTCCAGTTATGTTATAGTTCCGTACGTGGCACTTGTTACCCTTTTGGAATTCAAAAGACTATGCCAGCAAGAGCAGAGTGTGCCATTAGTTTCACCATCCCCACCCTCTCATTCCACACAGAGAACTCTTATCTCTCCAGGAGCCAGACGCACCATATTTTCTCTGCTCTGTGGAAGTCTTATCTCACTAAAGTATCCCATATGTAATAACAATTGACAAATGACTCAAAGTGTAAACGTTTCATACCAGACTAGGCCATTTCAGTTCTAACTGTGAATTTTAGGCATCAACTGGGTATACGTATGCGAGGTGGGATAAATGAGAAAAAAAAAAGGTCAGCCTTGAAATCTGGTAGCAAGAGGGCCAAGTCTCAACACCGGTGATCAAAAACGGAGTACGTTTAACACAGCGGTTCCAACGTAACAACCAAATCTCAGGATGTAGGACTGTGGTGGCAGTGACTCCCTCCTTGGCCTCTATGGCACCAGTTTCCTCCTTCGTCTCTTGAGATTTTTTCTTCCCACGGACTCCTCTTCCTTGGGTCTGCCTTCAAAGACATTTATGTTCCGCAGAGCTGTCTGTCTTCATGCATTCTCCCCACATTTCAGCAGGGCACTCTTAGGACCCGTCTATTTCCATGCAACCTAAGGACCACTCAAAGCTAGCACTGTGGGGAAGAACCTCATTTCCAAAGATGGCCTTTGGATGCTCATGCCCCGTAGTCCTCCCAGGCTCCCGACCCCCTGTGGATCGCAGCTGGTCTTATGACTCACTGGTAACCAACAGAACCCCACCTATCTAGTAGACAGACACAGCGCCACTCAACATACCCCAAACCCAACATTCAAGTCTTTTTTTCTATTTCTATCATACCTAATTTGCTTAATGGCTTTGCCATAAATTCAGATGCCCCTGGAGTTTATTCAATCTTTCCCTCAATCCCAACATCTAATTTGTCATCAAGCTCTACATATTCCCCCTCAATACTATATCCTAAACCTGCCTCCTTCTGACTGTCCTGGCGCAGTCCCCCTATTTCTTACTGTAAAGCCTTCCCCGGGTGACTGCCTCCAATCCACCTTTCTATGGTCTCCGCAGTCATCCACCTCCACCACCACGATGGGTTAACGGAGGCTCTCTGGGGATGCCTGGTGGGTCAGCTGGTTAAGTGTGTGACTCCTGGTTTCAGCTCAGGTTAGGATCTCAGGGTTGTGAAACTGAGCCTCACGGGGAGCTATGCTCAAGATTCTCTACGTCTCCTCCTGCCACCCGCCACACCTGCACGCACCCGCTCTCCTTCTAAAAGTAAATAAATAAAAAGAAAATGACCCCTCTCCATTTTGACAGGAACACAAGGCACAGGTCCTCAGCCTACTAAACACAGATGGTCCTAACTGACCAGTCTTCAGCTTTCGCTCTCTCCACTGTCCCCAGGTGTCTAACTGAAATCAAGCCATTCTCCCCACATAGGCCACACAGCTTCCCAGCAAACATTTTTCTAACTCTACTCAGTTTTCCCTGAGCTGGAATTATCTTCTTTAGTCCTCCATTTAGGGAATTCCTACTAATCTTCTAAATTAATTTTCCCCAGAAAACCCCCTCACTTTCTCGGGCTTTTCTACAATACCTCTAATGTCACACTTATCATAATTATTGACACATACACTAGCCTTCAAAGCTTAATGAGGCACCTTTCAAGCCTACAGATCCCATGCTATTCATCTTTATAATCCCAGTAACTACAACTTTTTCTGGCACGAAGTACTCAATACATGTTTAACCAATTAATATTCATTCTATAAATAATGAGGAACATAAATATAAATAATCAATAATTTGGGGATCCCTGGGTGGCTCAGCGGTTTAGCGCCTGCCTTTGGCCCAGGGAGCAGTCCTGAAGTCCCAGGATCGAGTCCTGTGTCAGGCTCCTTGCAGGGAGGCTGCTTCTCCCTCTGCCTGTGTCTCTGCCTCTCTATCATGAATAAATAAATAAATAAATCTTTAAAAAAATCAAAAATTTGAGGATCATAACACCTCACAGTAAGGATATCTTTAAGAAAAGCCTTTTCAGTCAGATGGTAGGGTTTTCCAAATAGTTGCCATTTACTATGGAGGGGAATTCTTATCATACAAAAAAATGGACGATCGAGTAAATAGTTTCAATACAATCCATTTAATCCAATCACTGGTCTATTTGAAAAAAGGGCGGGCAGCTTAGAACCACTAGGGTTATAAAGGCACGGGACAACACTTCCCCCATATAGGCTCTTTAAAACATTTTTAAAGATGCAGGGCCCACTCTCATTTCAGAGGTGACTAGGGCAAAGGAACTGAGAAAATTATCAGACACAAAGATGACACTTATTTTAAAGAAAGGGTTAATAACATGTAGAGGGCATGCTAAGGTAAGTTCAGTTGCATGACCACCGAAAGGCCTCATCGGGTGGCATTTCCCTGACGGATGTGCCTAGTGTACGGCCCTTCCTCTCCGAGGTCCACAAACTCAACCTGCTACTATCTCCGAGTAGGACTCAGAGAAGGTAATTCACACACTGATACATAAACAAGAATGCCAGAACGAGTCATATATAATGAGACCAAATGTTTGAGACCACCTGACCAGGGCAGTCTCTCCCTAAGAAAAAGTCACAGGCTGGAGGGTGGCTGAATTAAAATCAGATTACTTGGGGAACATGGAATCCCATCAGAGGGAGTATTTCACAGGCTGCAATGACTTGATAAATCCATCTTCACATGAGGGCCATCAGCCTTTCTAATGTTGTATTAACTTCCTTTGGAAATCCTTAGGCTCCTTCACCACCTCAGCCTATTCTTCCCATTACCAACATGGAACAGAATTCTATACAAAACCAAAAAAAAAAGAAAAAAATTTGTAACCAAAGAGTGTTCTAAGCTACTCCAAAACAAATATGCTGCAAAACCTAAAATACAACATGCATAATAGGAGATAATGTTATTATGGGAAAACGTAGTAAAACTTTTAGCTATTCCAATTCTCTGATGCATGTGATTCATTACAGATTTAGTGTTTAGTATGACATTTCTTTTACAGAGTCTATGCCATGGGACGCCTGGGTGACTCAGGGCGAGACCCTGGGGTCCCAGGATCGAGTCCCACATCGGGCTCCCTGCAGGGAGCCCGCTTCTCCCTCTGCCTGTGTCTCTGCCTCTTTCTCCCTGTGTCTCTCAGAAATAAATAAATAAAATATTTCTAAAAATTAAATAAATAAAGGGGTATCTATGCCACAGCATTCTTAACAGTTATTCGGATAACCCCAAACAACTACCCACTGTTATAATGCTTGGACAGAATTCTGAATTATCATTTACTTTTACTGTTTTGTCATGAAAATGCTCCTTGTTTCCGCACTTCCCTCTCTTTCGAATCGCCCAGGCAGCCTATCAGTTCCAGTCATTGTCAGGTTCTAGAAGTCAAGATATGCTCCTCCAGTCAGTAAATTAAATAAGAAGATGTCACTGTCACCCTGGAAGGCTTCTATCTCTGTAAATCACGTCAAAGTAAAAAAACACAACTACTAATGCAGATAAGTTGAGAGTCATCCTGATTCTTCATTCTCACCTCATATCTATACTATATGAAACCCTAATTTTATCTTATATAGAACAAAACATCCATTTGTCATATTCTCTATCATTCTTCCAATCCTTAGAACACAGCCTAGAAAAAGCATATGCTTCATAGGGTACGCAGAAATAAACCAGATCTGGGTGTTATTCTATATGTTGGCAAATTGAACAGCAATAAAGAATAAATTTATAAAAAAAAAAAGAAATAAACCAGATCTGGGAGATATAAAGGTCTGATCAGGTCACTTGGTATTAAAAATTCAATTTTCAAAATCTAAAAGTATCAAGAAAAAAGTCTGAAAACAAACTTGCCACATATACAGTGATAGTGAGGTTTCAGGAAAAACAAAAAAGAAAACTTGTTTCCCACTGAGAGGCCGCTGAATGAAAGGGATGACTACACATGGCAAGGTTAGGGACGCAGTCAGGAAAGAGAGACCACACAATGATCGGAACTTGCAAAGTTTAATATAAAGAAAATAACTGTTAAAGAGGAGCAAAGTAATGAGGGATTGGCTAATAAAAAACAACTGTAATGAGTAGAGGGCTGACGGTATCGTCGGTCCCCGAGAGTCCGCTGGCTGCACGAGCAGCCCGGCCCGAGGGGGCCGCGGACCTCGCCGGGCCTGGCGTGGGCACCTGCTGGGCTGAAGTCCTCCCTCCTGGCTGCGGGGAGCTCTGGGAGGCATCGTGGGGAGGGCCTCCTGCCAGGGTCGGTCGCAGCCCTGAGGCCGTGTCCCCCGGCCTGTCCACCCGCGGGCTGCCGGCGCGGCGGGAAGGCAAGTGTTGGCAGCACCCAGCTCCACCCCACCCGCAAGGACGACGGCGGCCCGGCCTATGGTCCCAGTCCACGCCCCGGGCCCCAGCGGTGGCCTTGACACTCCCCGCGACCTAGTCCTCTCCAGGGACCGCCACCTGTCACACGGCCGTCAGCAAGGAGACCTCACTGCTCACTCCTAGTTCACCTCGGCCGCCTTAACGTGAATCCTTCTACTACAGTTTTTCTGTTTTAAAAGAACACTGACCACAGCACCAGATGACCCGTGTCACAATCCCAGGCCGATCTCTTAACCGTGGAGACTTAAACAAGTCACCCCGTGTTGCTCTGTCCCTCACAGTGTTGTCGTAACGAATAAATTTAAGTGAAGCCTGAATCAACCAATCTGCGTATGACACTTAGAACCTAACCTTGGGGGATGCCCGGGGGGCTCGGTGGTTGACGCTCTGCCTTGGGCTCAGGGCGTGACCCCGGGGTCCCAGGTTCAAGTTCCGCGTCAGCCTCCGCACAGGGAGCCTGCTTCTCCCTCGGCCTGGGTCTCTGCCTCGCTGTGTCTCATGAATAAACAAATAAAATCTTTAAAAAAAAAAAAAAGAACCTCACCTTGCACAAGTCAGCTAATGTTAATTGCTATTATTTTATCTATAGGGATGGGGTTAACTCATTTTCTGTCTCCCCACACTAGACTGAACACTCCATAAAGGCAGGGAGGATTTGTGTGTTTTGTTCCCTGCTTTATCGCCACCACCTACAACAATTCCTGGCACAAACAGCTGCTCAAAAATATTTAATAAACCACTGATCACAAGCCCTTCTATATTAAAAGACACGAGTGGCAACTCTTCAAAGTCCTAATGTAATAAAGGCTTGTAGCGTAGTAACTGAGAAATAATTAACAGGGAAGAAAATCAAAGAAAAAAATTATGCCAATCGCTTCTTTATTTTCTTATTTTTTCCGGGGTGGGGGAGGGCAGAGGGAGAGAGAAGCTGAGGCAGGCTCGACGCCCAGCACGTAGACGGTACAAAGCCCTCCACGGGACTCCCTCCCACAACCCTGAGATCAAGACCTGAGCTGAAATCAAGAGTTAGACGCTTCAATGACTGAGCCACGCAGGCGCCCACCATTCTCTTCTTTAATAAGACCAACGTCTGCAACATATTTCTTCGGTGATTTAATTTGGCAGTTATGTGTGGCCTCAGAGAATTGCTCCACTGGAACCTCAGTTTCTTCTGGGGAAAGAAAAACTGCTAAGAACTGTTGAAATGGTTTTTCCCCCCTTTAAATGATGGATACAACAGCATCTAACACAAAGTTTATATTCTACTGAACGTAAACATCACTAAAGGCAACCTCTGGTTTTTCAAGTTTGGGCAGGATGCAATTAGCTTTCACTATGCACTCAGCCAAGCGATGCTTAAACTGAAATTATTCTAAAGGTGTTTCAGAAAAGAGCAATATGGTATGGCTTAAGTTTCATTAGCATGGCCAATCCTGCAATCCCCTACAATCTTCCTTCCAAGAGTTTAGGTGCAAAGAACACAAGATTGTGTTATGTATCTTCTGAGTGTAAAATAAAGTATCCAAGATATATCTGACACATATGACATATATATTTATATATATGTGATTTATATATTTCCAATTTAAAAGAACCCAAAGGCCACCAAGTATCTGACATTAGATTTAATGGTGAATATTTTGAAAAGTGACCCTACTGATGATAATCACATCACTTAGCAGAATAGTTTATTCACATCTTCATGATATTTTGACATTTAAATTTCTAAAACTTAACTGAATTAGTTCCTCTTACTATTTTCCAACACTGAAATAAGTGCCCAGCCAAAAATAACCACAAATACGGGCAATAAGAACACCACTATTAGCAATTTTTAGTAGTAACGATGTAATAACATCCTCATTATTTACTACTTGCAAGGAGCTGTTGGCAAAGCTCTAATTCATTCTTAAGTTACAGACATAAATAATTTTATCACTGACTCAAAACAGAAAGAGATACTTCATTCCTCTTACAGGACTAGAGCTCAGCCAACAATCACTATAAATTTCATAGCAGAGTTGAAATACTAGCTTCACTAACAATAATACAAAAATTAAGGTTAAAACCAGAATAGATCCTATCTACCATCAACCACCACCAACTGTACCGCACTGTACGGTTCCATTCTTAAGACCTCGAGATTACTTTTTCAAGATCTGTAAGGTCCACAGCCACTCAGTCAAGATCCTTGGTGTTTTCTACATTGGGAACATCTAGACCCAAATACAGGACGGGGTCTTGCTTCCCCTCTTCCAACAGGAACAACCAGCCAGAGCCAGTGCAGATTAAAACTGGGTTTCTCCACTTTATGAAAAATCCCTGTATCAGAGAAATCACTTGAAATACTGCTGTTCCCGGGGCACCCAGGGGGGCTCAGCGGGTTAAGCATCTGCCTTCAGCTCAGGTCAGGATCCCAGGGTCCTGGGGTCCAGTCCCGCATGGGCTCCCTGCTCTGCTGAGCTTGCTTCTCCCTCTCCTCCCAGCCTGTGCGCCCGTGCTTTAAGAAAAAATACCTTAGCGAAAAAAAAAAAAAGAAATATTGCTCTTCCACTGGATCATGTGATCTACACTACCACCTTTTTCTTTTTTCTTTTTGTTTTTGTTTTTTACCTTTTTCTTTTTTAGATACACAAGCAATTGCAGGTTTGGGTTTGCTGCCTTTCCATCACCTTTTTTTTTTAATATTTAATTTTATTCATGAGAGACAGAGAGAAGCAGAGACCTAGGCAGAGGGAGAAACAGGCTCCATGCAGGGAGCCCAATGTGGGACTCGATCCCGGGACCCCGGGGTCACGACCTGGGCCAAAGGCAGAAGCTCACCCGCTGAGCCCCCGGGGCCGCCTCCATCACCTTCTTACAGGAGCTGCTGGATCACGAAGGAGGAAGCCGGGACACAGCAACCCTAACAGATGCCACCGCTCCTGTAAGTCTCTACTGGAAAGCTCTGGGATGTGGCGCCAACACCAGATGACCCCAAAGACAAAAGCACACTAAGTTACAGACGGCAGAAATGAACCCCCCCCCCACTTGACCCTAAGACAGAAACCAGCGACCAGCGAGCACCACGTACTACGTCGCATCCAGGGGCCACGGGGTCTGTTCAAGCCACGTCCCTGTCCTCAGGTGTAGACCTTCGCCCTGTAGCACGTCCTAGTGGGCCCGACCCGCACTTCCAGCCGCGTCGGAGCCGAGCCCAGCGCAAGCAGCCCGCGTGAGGAGCAGGCAGCTGCCCGCGGATCCCCACCTGTGCTGGCTTGGGCAGCAGACTGCCACAGGCCCCGGGGGGGAAGCCGGCAGGTCCCTAAGCGGCCCCCGGCGACCTCGATGCCCCCGGTTAGGGACGCCCCGCAGGCTGGGTGGGCTCACTCTGTGGGAGCCTCCGCGGGGGCAGCAGCCGGCCGGTCCCTAAGCGACCCCTGACGACCTCGATGCCCCCGGTTAGGGATGCCCCGCAGGCAAGGAGGGCTCGCTCCGCAGGGGCCGCAGGGGTCGCAGCCGGCAGGTCCCTAAGCGGCCCCCCAACGACCTCGACGGCCGCCGGTTAGGGACGCCCCGCAGGCAGGGTAGGCTCGCTCCGCAGGGGCCGCAGCAGGCAGGTCCCTAAGCGGCCCCCCACGACTTCCGGTTAGGGTCGCCCCGCAGGCAGGTGCGCTCGCTCCGCAGGGGCCGCAGGGGTCGCAGCCCGCACGTCCCTAAGCGGCCCCCGACGACTTCCGGTTAGGGACGCTCCGCAGGCAGGTGGGCTCGCCCTAGGGGAGCCTCCGCGGGGGCCGCAGCCCGCACGTCCCTACACGCGCCCCGACGCCCCCCGCTGGGGTCGCCCGCAGGCAGGTGCGCTCGCTCTCCCACGCGAGCCTCCGCGGGGCCGCCGACCGGGACCGAGCGCAGGGAGGGTCGCGGAGCCGGGTCCGGGGCCACTGCACCCTCGCGCTCCCCGCCGCTCCTGCGCTCCGTGGGCGGGTCACCCGGCCGGCCCGGGCCCAGGTCGCAGGGCGGATGCAGGTGCAGGACGCGCTCCCCCGGGCCCTCGGCACGTCGGGGCCTCCGCGACCCGGGGAGACGGCGCTGCCGGGCCCGGGCCGCCGCCGCCCTCGGGAAGTAGGGGGAGCCCCCGCCCGCGCCCGCCCGCCCGCGCCCTCACCCTGGTGATTGAACAGCCTCCAGATCCTGGTGAGCAGAATTCCCATCCTCGGGCGGCGGAGCCCCCCCCCCGCCCCGGGCCGCCTGGCCTCCGCCGGCTCAGGCTGCAGGGGAGGCGGGACTCGCGCCGGGGCCTCCGCCGCCGCTGCTGCCGCTGCTGCCCCCGCGCCGGCCGCCGGGTCGCTTCCTGGGAACCGCGGGGAGGCCGAAGCCCAGGCCGCCCTGCCGCGTGCGAGGCCCCGCCGCTGCCGCCGCGGCCCCCGCCGGGCTCGCAGACATCGCCGCCGCGTTGTCTGCGACGAGCCTCGCGGGCCACCGTCCTCCCCCAGCTCCTCCGGGCGGCGGCGGCGGCGGCCACGCGGGCGGGCGGGGCGGGGCGGGGCGCCAGGGCGCAGGCGCGCGGCCGGAGGGGCGGGGCCTGGGCGCGCCGGGCAGTCGTATTTGCATAGGCGGGGCGCGGGGGGCGCTGGGGCAGCTTGGGGGGCGCGCGGGCTGCCCCTGCGACTCGGCTCCCAAAGCTCCCTCCGGCAGCTGGATGTTTTTCCCTGCGGCTCCTCCACGGAGCTGGGATGTAAATATGGATGGCGAGCCTGGCGCGCATCCCCGGCCGTGCTTGCCCGACCCCGCAGCCCCGGCCCCGCAGCCCCGGCCCCGCCTGCAACTCTGGCCTCGCATCCCTGGCCCCGCATCCTCGGCGGCGCATCCCCGGCCCCACAGCCCCGGTCCTGCATCCCTGACCCTGCAGCCCCAACCCCGCACCCGCAGTCGCGGCCCCGCATCCCTGACCCCGCAGCCCCGACCCCGCAAGCCCCGGTCCCGCATCCCTGACCATGCACCCACAGCCCCGGCCCCGCATCCCTGACCCCGCAGCCCCGACCCCGCAGCCCCCGCCCCACCTGCAACTCCGGCCCCACATCCCTGACCCCGTAGCCCCGGCCCCGCATCCCTGACCCTGCAGCCCCGAACCCACATCCGCGGCCCTGCATCCGCGGCCCCGCAGCCCCAGCCCCGCATCCCTGACCCCGCATCCCCGGTCCCGCATCCCTGACCATGTACCCGCAGCCCCGGCCCCACAGCCCTGGCCCCGCATCCCTGACACCGCAGCCCCGGCTCCGCAGCCCTGACCCCGTAGCCCCAACCGCGCACCCGCAGTCCCGGCCCCGCATCCCTGACCCCGCAGCCCCGGCCCCGCATCCGCGGCCCCCGCATCCCCCGCCCCGCATCCCTGACCGCGCATCCTTGGCCCCCGCATCCCCGGCCCCGCATCCGCGGCCTTGCAGCCCCGTTCCCGCATCTCTGACCCTGCAGCTCTGACCCCGCATCGCCGGCGCCGCCCACATCCCGGTATCCCCGCTGCACCCGAGCCCCAGGTCCCTCCAGAACCCAGGCCAGTGGCCCTGTGGCTCCGCCTCTTGCAGCCTCCCTCCGCCTCGCAGTCCGCGTGGCCCCAAGTGCCACTCACAGGTTAGGAGAGCCCAGGTACCCTCGATACTCCCTTTCCTCCGGAATGTGGCCCCAACGAGCCTTTCCAGCTGTCATTCCCATTATTGCAAACTGGTTAAACAGCTGGTCAAATACTTTCTCTGCTTTCCAGTCGTCTTGTCTGCACACCTAGAATAGCTGTGTCCCGTGCTACGCAAGTGTCACATCGTGCTTAGCCCTCCGCTCTAGGGCATGTGGTGAGAACTAGAATGGAAGGGCGTCACCTGGTTAGGTGATACCAGGTTCTACTGACAGGTGTTATTTTTTCAGCTGGGCAAGTTCCTTAACCTCTCTAGGCCTCAGTTTTAACATATGGAAACGTAGTAGGTTTGTCTCTAAGGCCTTTCCTTGCTTCTAGGTCATCCAATGATATAATCATCTGATAATCTGACAATTAACTAGCCTCTACTCTTGTTAAAGGCAAGAGGTGGGAAAAAGGAACTAAGGTTGTTTACTTCTCTTTCACAGAGAAATCAGAGACAGCTCCATGCCCTTCTATTCTCCTTAACTTTGATTTAAAAAAAAAAAGAAGGAAAAAAAAGGAGAGGAAAAAAAAGTGAGGAAGCTATAAAAGGCACTGTTGGGCTGTACTGACTCTCGATCCTCAAAAGCAAAATGAAATTAAACAAAATCAACAACAAACTACATGTTTTCACCCCAAATCTACTGGCCATATAATATCTTCTGTCAATATATATTAAAAAAAATACAAGTAAGACCTTGAGAGTCTACGGTTCTTAACTGAGCTAGAAAATTTGTACCTATAAAGCAAAGGGCAGCACTGATGACTAAAAGATGTCTCTTTTTGAACGACTGCAAGAAAAAAGTCCTTTAATTTTGGGGGGCTTATGGTTGAAAAGGCAAAGTTAGAGGAAACATATGAAGAGAAAGAAAATTACTATATTAATATATTTTATGTTATGCTTATATTTACATAATAAAGTACTCTCAATGGCTGCTTTATAAAAACAACAGTATTGTTTGCATAACTCATTTACATCAACTCTTTAATATTTCCATTCTTGCACGTGGTGCTTTTAGCAGCTCTGGGACATTTTGCAAACCGTCCACATATTTCTGTCCACTTATTAAGTGGTTGTCACGTCCATATTAACTTGTGGAATGAAGGCTTGGTTTCCCAGATTATTTTCTAAGTGTCTCTTAAAAAACGGACAAAGAATAAAATGATTTGCCTAATACAATATTGTCCAAGCATAGGGACCCATAGGTGAAATACAAATTTGGAACTCCTATAGGAGTGATTGCAAATGTTTATGGAGTAGTATGAAGCTATTTGTGAAAATAGACTTATAGAAATTTTTAAAGACTAATTTATCCAAGATAATAGTGATTTGATGGACAAAATATAGAAAACAACTGTTTTCAGATATTGGGCAACACACAGCATAGGATTGTGATCCCTGATAAGAGACCCAAATGCGGTTAAGTCTGACCATTACCTGGATTTTCTGCCTGGAGGCAATTCCTAGCCAGTGACAGCGGGGATGGGAACTCAGATTGAGTCTAGACGTATCCTTGAATTGAAGGTGTAGATCAGTGTTCCAAGAGATCAAGGTAGCTGTGAAGCGGAGTGGCTGAAAGGAGGGAGCTATACCGAGGAAAGCTTCAGAAACCTGCTTGCGTCGGGCCATTGAGTCTTTGGCTGCCTATCAACCTGTACCTGTGCAGAAACCCCACGAGGCTGGGCCAATAACAATTTCTAAGAAAAAAACAAGTACCAGGGAGCTGTACAAAATGTAATTCCTGGAGCTTACTAAAGGCCAGCAATCATTTGAGTTCCCTTCCTTTGATCAGAGTGAAGAGCACCCCCTACGAACCGGGGACTCTCGGTAGACATCCCAGAGACCTTGGAAGAGTTGCTGTATGAGTCTAAGAAAAAGGTGCTACTCTAGGCCAGTCCTAAAGGAGCTTAAAAACAAATCACGAGAGGATCAAACTCCTGTACAATTGCCTGTCAAAACAAGTCCAGCGTTCTCTAGAGGACTATGAGACCGAGTCATCCCCAATGGAAAATTTCGAATATCTTGAATCCAATAAAAAATTACTAGACAAAGAAACAAGGGAATGGGACCTGTAACCACAAGGAGAGTTGCTCTACAAAAACAGATTGGAGTGCTGGCAAGTGAGACGATTGCCCCAAGCTCATAGCTGGTCACTGCCAGAAACAGGCCTTAAACACGGCAAGAGCTGTGCTCTGCAGTCCAACCACATGCTAATCTGCGTGTTGTATGACAGGACAACAACGTTCCTGCACAACCCGTCCTCTTAGTAGAGACGTGTTGATGGCCAGGGAGGGGGCTTCAGCACGTGGGCAGGCTGAGGGCGTCCTTGCAGTGAGCCGCAGTTCTTCCTTCTGGGAGTTTCAGGCTGTTGGTTGAAATGCCTCCCTCGCTCGGCCAGCCCTGTAGAGCATTTCTCCAGGGTCTAAAGTGCATTCATGGCACAGCCAACATTTCCTGTATTCCAGGAGTTGTTTTGTACACTTCCATGACTACCGGCTTAAAAGTATTTGATACACATATTTTTCGATGAAAATACTTTGCAGAGAGAAGTTACAATGATCTTTGGTTTCCTCACTTGTAGTTAGGGCTGATAATCTATGCCCTGTCCATTTCCCAGGATGATCAGATGAATTAAATAATGTTTGTGAAATTGCTTGACTGCTTGGCTGCAAGAAGTCATTGTGTGATGTTAGCGCAATGATAACAGTCAACACAGGACACGTTTCTTTTGGACTTCTTGTGAGCCGCGATGAAAGAAAAGTCCCCTGTCCATCAAGTCATAGTATGGTGAGCTGACACTGAGCACGCGAAACGTCAAGTCCTAACGCCCTCCGTGGAACACTAATGGGCACAGGATACGGATGGAAATGGCCGGTAACTGCCACACGTATCACGCAGGGGTTTCTAGCTTATCTAGTTTATTTTTCTATATTGTATTCTATCCTATTTTGCATATGTATTTTAATATATTCTATTTTGCATGTCTGTATTTAATTTACGCCCCTTTCCTAATATAATACTCTTTTGTAATAACTCATAGCACCTAGCAGAGTATTCAGAAAATCATCATTTAACTAAACCCGTGTTGTGAGAGTGTTGAGACCTTTTTTCCCTGCAAGAGGTATAGGAACATACCTCTAGAATGATGTAAATATAAATATCTATTTTTAGAGTAATATAAAGGAGAGGTATAACGCTGGTTTCAATGTTTTCTCATTTATTATACAAAAGAAAAAAATTAATGCAGTTGGTTTGTACACATTTAAATTCCATAAAACAAATCCATAGAAATTAGGATACTCTATGCATGCACTCTGCATTTTCTTTGTTAAATGTTTTTGTTCACAAAAATAACAACACATTTTTTTTTCTTTAAAGCCACTAAAGCAGAGGGAGAACAAAACATGCAGCACTGTACACATTTGCATAGTATATTTTACCCAGCATGCCTTGTAGAATGCTACACATTTACCTATATAAGAAAAATAAAAGGGGGTAAATTATTAAAATAAGTAACTAAAATTCAAAAAAAGGAAAAAATTATTTGACAAAGGCAATATTTTTTTTTCCACTTGTACCTGGAGATATAGCAATAGCTTGGGATTCCAACAGCCCTCAGAGTAATGGGTAAAATCTTTTTACATCAACTTGCCTTTTTACTATTTTTAGTGTTAAAAATAACTAACACTATTTTTAGTGTTAATAAATTCATGTTTTCCCCTCCCGCCACCCCTTCAAAAAAAAAAAAAAAACAGCTAATGGCGTTAAACTTATGTTTCAAAGTAGTATTCAGTACAAAACAAAAACAAATCGAAGAATCCCTAAATACTTTACTTTTTTTGTT